CCCTTTTCTTTCTACTACTATTCAACTCTCTTGGTACCACCTGTCAACTGAGATACCACTATTTGCTATTGTTGTGAAATCGGCAAGTATATCGTTCGTTTCAAGTAATAAAATGATGAGTAGAGTATCGTTCCCACGAAGATTAATGCACCAAGTACTAGTTTAACTATTCCCCCCTTAAGTTGGAAAATAAAAATTGGTTTGGTTTGTGAAAGTAATTTAAAAACAGAATTTAAAATAAAAAATAATTAAAAACAGAAAATTAAAAACAATTAATTTCCAACGCATGCAAGAAAAGATCAAGAAAGCGAGAAAATATTGATGAAAAATTTATAAAAAGGATGTAGCCAGGATGCACTTCACCTCTGATCCTCCCTTATATTCCTATATTGTATTTTATAATTTAATTAATTCGTTTGTTCAGACAATTCATTATTTCCCTATAAAATAGTTGAATTCTAATGTCTTAGTTATTTTAACCCTTTAACCCAATCAGAATTCTAATGTCTTAGTAATCCCTCTTGAATTAAGCATTAAGCAAATGAATTATAAGTCTGCAATTTATGCAAGCCTGTGTCTAGATCATACACAAATTGTTATTCTACCCTTGTCCAGATTAAAACTCCAATATGTCTATTGTGAATTATAACCCTCAAAGCCCTATAATTTAGAGTGGCCAATTCTAAACAGGATATGGAAAAATTAACACAGGTAGAATAAAACAAACTAACTAATTAACTTATAAAATATCAATACAGGAAATATAAAGGATTCACATTGGGTCCGTGATCCCAACTACAAAAAGAAATTAGCCAGACATATTCATGTCTGACTTAAACAAAATAAAAGAATAAATTTTTTTCATAAACTAAGAAGAAAAGAAGAAGAAGAATAAAAACTCAATGTCTTCAGCCTTCAACTCCGGTGGAATCCTGATATCCAGCGCGAGTCTCCAAGAATTCTCTCAATTCTTTGATCCTCGCAATTCTCTCCATCCAAAGATGTTTTTCTCAGGGAGTCTAAGCCTCTATTTATAGACTTTGTGTCTTGCTCAGATATCTTGATTAAATCTTCGTCGTAAATCTCTGTCCAATCTTTCTGTTGCGACTTCGGCAAGTGCACCGGTCGTATAGTAATAAAAGTGTACTAAGTACGAGATCGTTCCCACGAGGATCTGAATTTCAAGCACTAGTTCGCTAATCGTGTTTTAGTTGGACAATCGAGAATTTAGATGAAGAGAATTGCAATTGAAGAACTTTAAAAATTAAAGACAAGTAATGAGATAAAATTAAAAAGACAATTGAAAAGATGATGATTGATTAAGAATTTAAAACAAGCGTAGTTAAGGTTTCGACTTCCCCTAATTTCCTCAATATGTTATGAATTAAACAGTCAAGAATCCGGTTCTTAATATATTGCCAATCAATTCTTTCTAAGTTAATTACGGCTCAATTCTTTGTTACTATAAATCTATGTAATCTTGAAAGAACTCTAGTTCCCCGATTATTCCCCAAGAAAACATGCATTAAGATCAAGAATTCCAAGATTGCATAATTACCCTATGTCTATCCCTAGATCACAAGGATTATGATAAATTTATCAATTCAGGGTTCATGCACCAACATCCCTATTGTCATACAATTTCCCAAAATCATTCTATAAGGAACAAACTCATAGAAAGCATTAAAGACAGATAAATTTATTCAATTATAAAAAGAAAAGAATTCAAGAACAATTTAATCCATAAACATAAAGATTCAATTGGGTTCCATCTACCCTTAACTACATAAAAATCTAGCCTAGCATACTGAATTGAAAAAGAATAGTAAAGAAAAGAGAACCCCAAGCCTCCATTGGTGTGATGTTGACTTGGTTCCTCAGTGTTCCAGCACTCCGCAACAGGATTCCTCCTTCAGGTCTCTATGTATTTCTCTGGACTTGTGAATTGGTGTATTGGTCTGACCCTCAGCTCCCTATTTATAACCATTGAAGCCACATCCTTCATTGAATCTCCCACCATATCCGTATCAGATTTGTAATTGATTTTATAATTGTTTCCTTTTGCGTTTAAGATCTTGTAGATTGGTGACAGATTTCAGACTTTGAATCTTTTTATAATCTTGCTTCAATCCTCCATGAATCTCTTAAAATCAGGTTTGATATGCTTCTGCTTTAATTCCGGATATCAAAATCTTGTCTTCATTGGAAAATCTCAGCAAATCTTAGTAAATCTTTGCTGTCTGGAACGTGCTTGGGCGCTCAAGCGCGCTGTTGGCCGCTTGAGCGTGCTTAAGTGCTTGCAATTTGTTGTTCTGCCTGCCCTCACGCGCTCGAGCGTGCTACTGAGCGCTCGAGCGTGCTCCTCGTGGATAAATTCTTGTCTTCTGGGGCGCTTGAGCGTGCATCCGTGCGCTTGAGTGTCCTGGATTGCTCATTTTGGCTGTTTTTCCTGCTTGCACGCGCTCGAGCGTCCTCTGGTTCGCTTGAGCGTGCTCTTCTGGCCTTTGAATTTTAAGATTTTTGGCTTCCCTTGGTCCATATTGAGCCGCTACTTCTTTGTCATGATTTCTTTAGCACTTTTAGCACCAATTCTTGTGGTTTTACCTTCAAAATGCAAAAAACATCAAAACGTCAGCTCAATTTCCTATCTTATGACTTATATGTTGTAAACCTTGAATTCCATGCATTCTACTACATAACTCTTGTATAATTTAGTCTAAAAACATGGTAAACCAAAGGTTTATAACTTTCTCTAATTCAGAATAGGATTGATGGTTGATTTGTCTGCACTTCCCACACTATGAGCGTGGTTCCCACGCTGTCAGCGTAGGAGTTTTGTTAATCAGGCTGTGAGTTCACGCTACTAGCGTGGTTCTCACGCTATGAGCGTGGTGGGCAAGAACGTTTGGCGCAACTAGCGTGAGTTTCACGCTGAGAGCGTGGATGCCTCTGGATGTAATTTTCTTCAGGCGCTACTAGCGCGAGTTTCACGCTATGAGCGTGGATGCCTCTGGATGTAATTTTCTTCTGGCGCTACTAGCGCAGGTTTTGCGCTAATAGCGTGGGACTTTGGTTTCTTACTTCCAAATTTGGCTCCTTTTTGTCCTGCTTTCCTACAAAATCAAAAGAAAATCAATTGTACGATCTCTGATTGGGATTTATCAAATTAACAGTAGTTACTGCCCTTTTTATCCAAGATTAATCAAGATTCTTTCTCTTTTTGGCTTACATTTATATATATGTTGGATGCATATCAACTATTACTGTAACTTTTAACACAATCATAGGAAGAGGACGTTTTATCCGGTGGCGGAGCCAGGCTCCGATTTGAGCTCAGACCAAAAAATTATATGTGTATTTATTTTTCTTAATCTTAATTAATTCATATCATAATATTATTTAAATTATATTAAATACAGAGCATCTGAGTAGACAACACGCAGAAGTTATAATTTTATTAAAAATATTTTTTTTATACAAGTGAAAAATGAATACATAACATAATACAACTTACCCAAATCTCTCACCAAATATATTTTAATTTTTAGATAGAGCCAAATTATAAATTGTAACCCGGGCCAAATTATAATTTTAACTCCGGCCAAATTATAATTTTAATCCGGACCAAATTACAATTTTAATTCAGATCAAATTACAATTAATTATATAATTATATATAAAAAATACAATTTTTTAAAATTTAACTCGGGTAAAGTCCACCACATGATATATGTGGCTCACCCACTGGTTTTATCACGAAGGCTGCAATAGTGGCAACTGACAAGCGAGGCCTTGCTCCGCGCTAATATACAATATTTAATAAGTACTATATGGAAATATTGGTTCAATTTAATTGATGTTTTTTTTTTCTTTTTTTTATGTTTACTTTTATCCATACATTTTTTTTTTTATAAACAAACAATTGAGTAGATATTTTTTAAAATATACAAAAGAAAATAGTGTGCAGAGTTATTAGATTGTATGTAAATCTATATAGAAAAACAATAATATAACTTTATATACATTTAACTTTAGTCATTTATCCATTTTATTTTAAGTTCATATTTATTTTAACTAAAAACTGTAGATTATATTTTACTATTCACTATTTAAAAATGACATCATTTTAAACTTGATATATATAAAAACCCAATATTGATTTATAAATATAACGCAAGCAGTTTATAACTATAAAACAAATTTTTTTCACCCTTTTTTTTATCTTAAAATCTTGCATTCATGTGATGCTGATTTCTGCAAAATCCACTTTTATATATAGCTTTAAAATTTGTGAAAAAAAAGATAAACAATTTAATAACCAGAAAAAAAAGACAAACTAATTAAAATGTTTGAAAGAATAAATAAAGAGTTTGATATTCTTAAATTTTATCCATTCCATTGGAGGCAATAAAATTAATTTTAAAATATATATTAACATTTAAACCTTCCCATAATTCATGTAACGCAGCTTAATATTAGTGACATCCCCAGGATCCAGCACAACTGAAATTACAAATGCTTCATCCGGAATCCGATGCACAGAAATGGATAGAAAACATACATATTATTTTCATCAATATTCATATGCATGTTCACATTTTATTTCATATCCGCATTGTTCTTCTCATTCTTCCAACCGAAATGCAAAGAGATTAAAGAGGCAACTATTAACCTCTAATACGCAATGATTGCTTTTAAAGAAAGTTACTATACTACAATCGTAATTCAGAAGAAACGGAAACACCATAGATAAACAGAAACAAAAGATTAATAGTACTGAATATGATTATGCACAAGAGTTTTGACATACATATTCAATAGGCCTCCCCTTACAATATTCTTTGAATACTCTATGCACAACTTAACCACAAAATTTATCGTCAGGAATGCAAATATGAACAGGCAATCCAGTAACTAAGGCATGAGTCCAAATACAAAGCAACAGTTAAATCTGCTTTGTACTCTCACTAAAATTGGCCCTTATTTATAGGTTACAACAAATGTCACAAAGTCGATCAAAATCAAGGGGGAAAAAATCTTGGTTATTCCTCTCAAATTTTATTTTGAATGCAATTGGCAGGACTATGAATTTGCCATGCTATACAAGTAAATTTTTTGAATAGGGACGGAATGTCATCCTCAGTATTATTTATACTTATGATGTTGGGTAAATAAACCGAAAATATTTTTTGAAGCTATGTTCCTATGATATACTATATGGAAGTATCAAATGAAGTCAGGTTGGCCTGTTGAAGTTAAGCATCGATGCCACATTCGACTGTTAGGGTCCAACAACCTGGGATGAGATATTACTTCGGGGATGGGAAGGTAAGCATAATGTGTATTACATATGCCTACTGTAATGCCACTATATCCAGCAAATGCACCATGAACCTGCAATGCAAATGCTGTGAATCAATATATCAAATAACAAATGTACAACATAGGATATGGATTATGGACAGATCTTTGGAGATGTGGCATGCATTTTGTGCTTGAGGAATTGTATTTATATTGCAGTTCATATCTAACCAATAATCACAAACTAGAGAAAGGACCAAAATGTAGTTGATACCAATAATCTCAAGAACATATATCGGTAGACGAAGAATCAGAGAAAGATGAATGGAGACAATATGATTACCGGGTAACTAAATCCCTCTCTTATTTCAGAATTTAGTTTTATTTTCCATATTTCATGTGACTTAAACTTCAGGTATTTTGATTTCATTAATATTTACACATCTTATATCTTTCTTTGACAGAAAGTAATTAATAGGAACATAATAACTTAGATTGAGACCTAGATTCTCCACGCTCATAGTTGGGTGAAGTATAAACATAATCTAGAAGTGCTTAGCAGTAAAGCGTGTTGACGAGAATAAAAGGCCGATAGATAAACTGCCTTGTGAAAACCAATAATAAAAGTGAAATCATAAATATAGAAAAACAGGCAAAGATAGAGAGGACAAGTGACTCACAGCATTTTGTCCAAGTACAGTGCATAAAATTCCATCTGAAGCATTTGCTCTACAAGCACGGATCATGTATGTTGGATCAATATATTTCACATCAGCATGAACACCAATCTCCTTGAAATATTTTTTTGTCTGAAATAAAATCATTGTTGGCACGAAATAATTAAATTTAAAATTAAGGCAGCACTCTGCAATATTCATGTTGTTAGGCATACAACAATTGAAATAAAAATGCAGCTGAATTTTACTTATTTTAATAAAATCTAAAGTAGGAAAGCAGCTCAAGATCATAACTGAGGTTCAAAACTCCTTCATGTCTCATTTATTTCAAAAAGCACCCCTGCCTTTGCTTTTTTGGCTAAATCATACCATTCGTTATGTTGGAAAAGAAAAATCATAATCGTAAGCTGTTTATATTAACTCAAATAATCTAAGCTTTGATAAGATGTGTTTGAGAAGGAACCTTTTTCCTTTTTTACCGTAAATTATGCTTAAAAGAGAAAATAACTGTTTTTTCCTTAATAACAACTTCTAAATAGTTACCAATAACCAACTTAACTATTCATCTTTGTCATTAGAAAAGATGAAGCTATAATCAAAGTTTTAATGCATGGCATGAACACCCTGGACATATATATATAGTAAAATAGGCAACTGGAACAATATTAATCTGACATTGTTTCATTGGCAACTAAAACCCCCTTCTTTTCCAGACAGCGTGAGCCTTCATTTCATAAAAAAGGGAGAAGGGATTTGAACTCTATGAATATTTACAAAATAAATTTTCCGTTTCAATACAGTCAAGACCAAAACCACACGTAAAATTGACACAACAGTCAGGTTTCCAAATGATTGGCATAGAGTGATAATTTAAAATACCAATTGGTTAAGTGTGTAGAGAAATTATAAACGAGCTATTCCATATAAGTATAGTTAGTGTCCCTTGTTTTTTATTTTAATTTTAGCCAGCTTAGATTTTCTTTCTTCATATTTGATTTGAAATTTAATCTATGTGGAAAAAAAATTCAACAATGTATATCCAATTTTCATCAAGTCTCAACCCATTTAGATTTTTGTAAGCACCATAAACAAGTAATAACAAACCTCTTGTTGGATATATACACCAATGTCTCCAAATACAACATTCCCTGAAGCATCAGTAGCATTAGTCTTCTGAAGTAAATTCTGCATGAAAAAGATATATCAGTTAGCAAGTTTAAGTTTCTATGTCCGAATGTAGGTCTTCAATAAAAATTCAAAATACTTATTTTTGTATTGGACTGCCGCGACATAACATAAGAGAAAAAATCTAATGATGCAAGTGTTGTTGATTTATAAGATGGGAAAATTATTATAAATCTAAATCACCTGTCCAGCTCCCTCTGCCACACAGACTACAGCTGATCCCTTTGTTTCTATGAGGTACTTGAGATGACTCAAAACTCCATGAGGGCCGTGTAAATTGAAAGCAACCTTTGAACCACAGTGAGAACTTGCATCAGTTTATCAACATGACAAGAAAGAGAGCTCTGACAAATTTTATCGTATATACCTCAGGAATTAGGCATATGTCAATCTGTCCACTGGCTAGGGAAGCATGCATTGCTATGAATCCACTGCTACGACCCATCAGTTTCACAATCCCGATTCCATGATATGCACTATGTGCCTAGTAAGATAAGGGACGATATGTAAATATTGGAATACCTACCAACTAGAAAACATTATTGGGTTCAGTCAAATTGACTGAGAATATTAAGTAATATATATACCTCAATGTATGCAGAATTTATTGCTCTTTGTGCTTCTTCAACGGCAGTATCGAAGCCAAAAGTTTTGTCCATTAATAGAATATCATTGTCTATAGTTTTAGGCACTCCAATTACAGATACCTTAAGCCGTCTTTTACAGCACTGAAGGAAAAAAAAAAAAAAAAAAAATCTCAATTCATTAGACACACAGGACAAGCTTAAATATTCTTGCTGTATGTAAATAAGTGAAGATCCTTCCATATCACACATGATGCACATCTCAAACAATGTCTATTATTATACAGTTTGATGTTAACACTTGAATAATCATAAAATAAAAGGCACAATGAGTCAAACCAAATTTAAACTTAACTTCTCTGTGAATCTCAATGAATATGTTTCCAAGATATGATTTCCTCATAAAAGAACTCATCATAGTTCACAAAATGATCCAATTGAATGCATTCAATTAATGCAAGGTTAAAGGATTAACAACCTCATTGTGAATTGCATTTGCACCAGCATGTGTGCCATTTCCACCCAACACAAAGAGCATGTTGATCCCTCTTTCCTGAAATCAACAATACGCACATCAAACAAATCACAGTAAATATAGTACCCACCGTAGAAAAAAAAATCTTCTCTATGAAATCAACAATTTTGTTAATAGAATGGGTAAATCAACTACCTGCAAACTGTCCACAATTTCACCGACTCCTGGTCCTCCACGTGAAACTCCTAACAGGCTTCCACCAGAAAGATGGATATTTTGGACCACTTTCCTTGACAGCTGTAAAAGAAATCCAAATATAGTAAAGAGTCATTGGCAAGAAGAACAATAAATTTGCAATAGATCTTTAGTTTAATAAACTACATTTATACCAAATCAGCAAAGAGGAAGAATGAGATTACCGGCACTTCTGTCAATTCTTTGTCAGAAAAGCCACGATAACCAAAAGGAATACCCACAATCTTTGTTACACCATATATCTCAAGTGTGATTACAATCTGCAGCACATTCATTATCCAATCAAAAATTGAGAAACAAATTATTGACCGTAGTAACTAGAACGGGTTTAAGAAAGAAGCCAAACTGGGAAGATCTTAAACTACAAGATATGAAATAATTTACAATTTTAAACCGAAATGCAAAGGAAGGGGTTTGCTATACTTAAGACAATTACATGACAGCAAAGAATATATTTCGGGTCTGCCAGTAACTTAATCACGAGCATTTCACTGCCCAGAAAATTTAGCGATAACTCATTGTCAAGATGGTAAAATCTATGAAAATTAAAATGTTACATTTCTCTAATAACTTTTTCCTGCCTTAACTTTCAGAACACCTGCAAAGCTTTAATCTTTTCTCAAGAATTTGTCAAAGCTATATGAAAACATTAACTAACCTGTCTGATGACATCATTAAGACCAGGGCAGAGCCCTCCACAGGTAACAATTGCTGCCTTTACTTCTTCAGGTTTAAAGTATATCTTTTCCCGAGGTCCAGCTCGATGCACCCTAAAAAGATTTCAGAACCTTTTACCAAATATGCTAATCTTAGAAACAACATTATATACATCTCAACGACTTAGAGAACTATACATTCAAATATTATAAGTAAAATAACTATTTGGTAACCCAAAAGAAAAAATAATAATAACTATTGTTCATAATAATATTTCAGGAACATCTCCCTCACTCAATCTCACTTTCTCTCCCAGCCAAAAACTCGAAGCAATAAGGTGATTGTGATATTCACCTCCTACTGTCAGACAAACTTGTGAATGTTTGGATTGTTAGCAAATTGTGCATCAGAATTGCATCACATCGATGCTATAAGTTCTATGATTTCACCCTGACACTTCATTTTATACATTAACAACAGTAAGCCTTGCCTATATCAGTCTTTTTATTGTATATCTTTATGGTAGTAAACAATGCCAACATTCAGATTTAATGAAATAATATGCACCAGTATTTTTAATAATAGCAACATTAATATCCCTTTGACTGGATATGCCTAAACAGCCACTATATTCCAGATTAAAATTGGGAATTAAAATACTTTACCATTGTTCCACCCAGTTACAACCAGGATCAAAGCACTCAGCGCCAGCAGATGTAGGAGATGAATAGTATATAGTCTGAAAGATCAAAGCAAATGGAAAATTAACATTCCTCACTGGCAACACAAGTATTTTAGAAGATCATCAATTAATATCCAACAAAAGCATTTCACAGCAATTCAATTGTATTGCAGAAGACATTCCGATGCAAAGATAAGTGAAAAATACAAAACCTGTTTGTTTCAAGCTATAGTCAATTAGTATTAACAAGTACCCACAAAAAGAACTATTTTGATTCAAAATAAGTTAAAGCAACAAGAAAAGCACAAATTTGATTCCAACGATCAGTATCATATGAATTGCATGGTACATGTATGAATAGGTGCGATTCCGTATCACTGATACATTCAACAACAACTCGTTCATTTTTTTTTTTATTTCATGAATTCTTATAAAAGAAATTGGAAAGTCAAATAAGCTTAAGTTGTTAAATCAAAAGCTATTATTTTCAAGCTACCTCAATGGTGCATTATACATTATTCATATGATATATTTCAAGCTATTTTCAGTACGTGCCTTAATCTTACTATTTACAATTCAAAAAATTAGCTTGGCTATTCATGATTTGAATGGGGATTCGATAAACTTGATTAAAACAAAGGAAACCAGTAATCGATGACACATGAATGCAATAAAGAAACAAGGAAATCAGTATCCCCAGTAATAACAGCTATCAAGCTACCTCTTCACAATCAATTTAAATTCAAACAGCACAAAGGATGAATAAAGCCTACTACCTTAAGAAGCACTCTGTCATTGTCATTAATGAATCCATGCCATTCGTCAGAAGAAGGACAATTTCCAGGAAAGTCTCTAATCATAGGAGTTCTGTCAGGGACAACACAAAACACATCAACAACAACAAAAAATACCAAATCCATTGTTAATGCAGCCACACAATAAAGATGACACGAAGCAGAAACCAACGAACCTCATTTTGAGGCAAAAGGTAGAAGGCATAGAAGCAGCATCAGGGAAGATATCAGTAACATGGGGGAGTCTGAAACGGGCCTCAAAGTCCTCCTTGAACTTGGTTTTCCAATCAGGGTCACTGAAATCAATTGCTTTGGTGGACTTGGGAGTGAAGTTTTGGCTCTTAAGCTCTGCAAAGACGCGAACTTTATTGGTGACTCTGCTTGGTACCAATGTCTGGAGACGAGAGTACCCATATGAACAACGGGTAGAAGTTGTTAAGCCATGAAGATTGATGTTGGGGGTGATCACGTGCGAGATGGTACCCATCAAACTGGGGTCTGTGAAGAAAGAATCTGAGATCTCAGAGAGTGAAGAAAAGGGTGTGGATGAAATGCAGGAACAGAACCGGAGGGAACGAGGGGGGGGGGAGAGAGAGGTTTATGGAGTTTGGGTGTGGCTTATGAAACCAAGGAGGAAGACAAAAGGTTTTCAAGTTTCAGTTTCAATAGTTGAAGTCATACGATGACGTTAATGACATCACATGAAACAAGGGATACAACTTTTGTAATGAGCTGGCTCCTCTTGTTCTCTACTGTAGTAGAATCTTCGACTTTGCAGCATACAAGGAAACCGAAAATTTGTTACTTTATTATCTTTTCCCCAAACAACTAATTTCCTAGTTCTATCATCAATGTACGGCTGTTTGTTTTTTATTATTATCATTAATATTATTATTTCCTACTAAATAGTTAATACGAAAACTTTTTTTGATCTTAACTAGCAAATAAATAACTCATATACCCAGGCACATGTCCTATACACGAGACAAACTTAAGTGCGTGTTTAAGGGAGGGTTTCTACGCCCCTAGAATTGATTTTGGAGCAAAAAAAACTCAATAAAATCTAAACTTTACTTGGAGCAAAACGAGTGAGAAAAAAAAAAAAAAAAGAGAGTAAAATCTGCACTTGTATATTCAAACCCACATTTCAGTCTCTCAAAAACCCTTGGCTATGAGCAAAATGAATGATTCTACTTCAAGTGATACATGCTTAATTGCTTAAGCAAGGTCTTGATTTAAGTCTCTGTAAATGTTTAATTTCCTTTGAGAAGATTAAATATGAATATTCTCTGCTTGAACAAAATTATCTCCTATATATATATATATATTTGGTATTTAATTTTTGAAATTTATATTTGGGAGCTAAAAAGAGATTCTTGACGTTAATGCCATTGTCAAATTCTTACGGTCCTTTTTTATCTAGGAATCCTTCAAGATAAATCCATTCTTTTTTTAAAAAGAAGAAGAAGATAAATCCATTTTTTAAAAAAAAAGATGAAGATAAATCCATTTTTTAAAAAACACGATAAATCCATAGGTATACGTAATATATTATTTTATTCTGATGACTTACCAAATAATTAATAATGGATAAGAAAACCACACCAAAAAAAATAAAAATGGATAAGAGGTAATTTGTTTTATCTCATCTCCTTTATCTTAATTATCACTTTACTAAAATTAAATTGATAACTTATTGAAATTAAATTCAAATTCTTATCCCTCTCAATAATTATTTTCACTTTAACAAAAGACAATTTTAAATGAGTGTGCGCTTGTGTGTGTAGAGTTTTATATGAAGCATTTATTAATTAATAAGATGCAGTATTTTGTTATTTATCATGTATGTCATTATAATGCTTGTTTTATATTAGTGATATCTTGTTTGTGCCTTTCCATAACAGATATAAACTCAAAGTGTTGAGATATATACTCCCACATTGGTTGAAGAGCAACTAATGTGGGAGTTTATAAGGCATTGGGCACTCTCACCCTTTGAGCTAGCTTTTGGGGTGGTGACCTCAAGGTTCTTAACATTAGGGGTGTAAATGGGCCAGGCTGGCCCAGCCCAGCCTACGGCCCGGCCTACATTGAGCCCAGTCCAGGCCCGGCCTTTCAGAAAAATAGAGTAGGCTTAGGCTTATAAAAAAGATTTTTTAATAAATAGGCCATAGGCCAATTTTGTCAAGCTCGGCCTACAGCCTTGTAGGCTGGCCTATTTAATTTATTAAAATAAAATAATAAAATAATATTTATTTTATGTGGCAAAGACACATAGTACCAAATACTAATATCTCTTACTTTTTGTGCTATTTTATTCTATGAAAGGAAAACTTGTCTAATGTCTCCAAATTTTACATGCTGTTGCAGCTTAATACCATAGAGCAATGGGTACCTTGCTGGATTATGATGTTTCTGATGAAAATCTTTCAATAATACTCTTCTTTCCCTTATCTTGATGGTGATTTAAAGATTTTTAAATGAATGACATTCTCTTGTAGACTTTATTTCAGCATCCAGTAATTGTATTTTTCATATTTTTTCCATTTCTTTGACTCTATTCCTCTATGATATACATTCTAGAGCTGAGGTAGTATGTTGACTCTTTCTTGTTTGTCATTTTTTTCTTATGAGAAGTATTAGTGCATGCATGAATGGAGCTTTCTTTGCTCTATACAATTATTTTTTTTGCTTAGTATATATAGTGGGAGGCCTACAAGGCCTGTAGGCCATGTCGGGCTTTCTTATTTTTGAAAATGGGCCGAGCTTGGCCTACAAATAAAGCCTTTAATAGGTCAGTAGGCCAGATAGGCTGAATTTTTTTGACGTAGGCTTGGGCCAGGATGGCCAAAGCCCAGCCCAGCCCATTTACACCCCTACTTAATATGGTATCAGAGCTCTCGATCCTGAGGGCTCTGCTTCCGCAATTACTGCTTAAGTGCGTGTTTAAGGGAGTGTTTCTATACCCCTAGAATTGATTTTGGAGCAAAAAAACTCAATAAAATCTAAACTTTACTTGGAGCAAAACGAGTGAGAAAAAAGAGAGAGAGAGAGAGAGAGTAAAATCTGCACTTGTATATTCATGATTCAAACCCACATTTCAGTCTCTCAAAAAACCTTGGCTATGAGCAAAATGAATGATTCTACTTCAAGTGATACATGCTTAATTGCTTAAGCAAGGTCTTGATTTAAGTCTCTGTAAATGTTTAATTTCCTTTGAGAAGATTAAATATGAATATTCTCTGCTTGAACAAAATTATCTCCTATATATATATATATATATATATATATATTTTTTTTGGTATTTAATTTTTGAAATTTATATTTGGGAGCTAAAAAGAGATTCTTGACGTTAATGCCATTGTCAAATTCTTACGGTCCTTTTTTATCTAGGAATCCTTCAAGATAAATCCATCCTTTTTTAAAAAAGAAGAAGAAGATAGATCCATTTTTTTAAAAAAGAAGAAGATAAATCCATTTTTTAAAAAACACGATAAATCCATAGGTATACGTAATATATTATTTTATTCTGATGACTTACCAAATAGTTAATAATGGATAAGAAAACCACACCAAAAAAAATAAAAAAATAATGGATAAGAGGTAATTTGTTTTATCTCATCTCCTTTATCTTAATTATCACTTTACTAAAATTAAATTGATAACTTATTGAAATTAAATTCAAATTCTTGTCCACCTCACTAATTATTTTTACTTTAACAAAAGACAATTTTAAATGAGTGTGTGCTTGTGTGTGTAGAGTTTTATATGAAGCATTTATTAATTAATAAGATGCAGTATTTTGTTATTTATCATGTATGTCATTATAATGCTTGTTTTATATTAGTGGTATCTTGTTTGTGCCTTTCCATAACAGATATAAACTCAAAGGCAAATGTTAACATGTACTTTAAAGTAGGAGTGTTCATCAACCGATTCAAACTGCGGTGACCGAACCGAAAAATCGAAAACCGAATAAATCGAAAACCGAAAAACTCCAAACCGAAAAAAAACCACAAATTTTAATTGGATTGGATTGGTTTTTGGATGGGTTGATGAAAACCGTTCCAATATATTAATTCTCCTCTACCTACTTGGGTCTTTCCCCAATCATAGCCCAAAAAATTTCTTAACCCAAGACCTATCAACCCATCAACTAAAATCAAGAAAAAACCTAACTTAATCACATCTCATCAACAAAATTTCATCTGTGTAGAGCTTCTTTCATATCTCATTGTCCAAAAAAAATATATTATCTTTTACTGATGCTTTTATATTTCAAAAAAAAAAAATTTACAAAACCAATATATACAAAAGATGTTATTTGCACAATAATCATGAAATAAATTTTAGGATTTTCAAAAAACCGAAAACCGATCCAATCCAAACCGAAAAAAGTTGGATTGGATCGGATCGGATTTGAAAAAAAATCCAAACCGAATGTATGATTACATAATCAAACCGAAGAGATTGGATCAGATCATTTTTACTTCAAAAATCGATCCAATCCAGACCGCGAACACCCCTACTTTAAAGGTGTTTGTGAAGAATTTAAAATATAAAGTGAGTTTTTTTAAAAAATTTATAATAGATTAAATATTAAATATATCGAATATAAGTTTTCAATGCACAGATATATAGTAACAAATCCTACTTAATATGATTACCCAAAAAAAAAAATCCTACTTAATATCGATTTCCTTGGGAATAAGAACAGAGCACTCAATTGTTAGCATTTTTATTATGTAATTTACCTTATATATACTGCAAAATCTATAGAAGAATTTTTCCAACTAGAGAATCTCGTGATCAGATTCGCATCTTGGTTGCAAGTTTCCAAGCTGGTAGATATCATATGATACGCAGAATCCAACAAAATACCTTTCAATTATTTGTTTGGTCATTATTTGAGAAGAGCAGCCATTCGCATGGTTTGAGTCCTCACCTACCAACCGCGAGTCCACAACTCTTATGAGACTCAAACTTTTTTTTTCTTATTTTTTATACAGATACTCTAATTTTTTTTTTTGAGGCTAGTCTTTTTTTCGAGTATTTTCTTAAAGTTCAATTCTTTGAACCAACTATAACAGTAATATCAAGTCGGGGCTTAGCTTAATCACAATTAAATTTTTTCATCCCTTTTCAAAAATGTATTGAATGATAATCAAATTTAATTTTTCTCCCCCACCTTCTCTGCATTGCAAACTGAATTACACACACCTATGAGCTATGGAGACTCAACCTGTAAGTTGGAAGGTAACTCGTTTGTAAGTTGTTCAACAAGCCCGTAAAGTAGGCCAACTAGTCAGCTGGTCATATACAAATATGAAAAACATGGGGAACTCGTTAACTACTACATCAATTCCAAGTCTGCAAATCAGCCCATATAAATAACATTCAAAAAATCATTTAGACCGAAAATTTAATCTCCTGTATTTAATTAATATTTTTAATGTATGTTTATACTCAAAAATTTAGTCATCTTTT